ATGCCCCCGTTGCTCCCTTTTGGCTTAGAATGTGTGTTGAGAAAATGAAGGGATGCACAGATGGCTGGCGGAGGAGGAGGAGGTGAGGCTGCGAACGGCGACGGCGCATCACTAGCCCCTAGTATAACATGCTCCACATGTAAAACATTTGACATGGAGACTGGGCCAACACAGATAAAACCCTCGGCAGTGACCACTGCATACTCAACACCGCCATCACAACCAAACCAATGGCAATACCCTATGCCCAAGCCCGCCTACCCTACTAGACAAAGTTTCAGAAAACCTACACTAATCTGGCCCCTCTTCACAAAACAGGTTACCACGCATGGGCACAAGAATTGGTGACACACCTTCGTTCGGCAGAAACTCAACTCCAACTCTTACAGGCTACGCCGGAAGTGTACAATCACCTCCTTCACCTATCGGAGGTGCTGCACAGCCTCGTCCGCAGATGGCTCCCCCAAAAACACAATCGGAAACTCGAAATTCGCATTGCCGAGCTCACCCAACAAGCGGCAGAGTACGCGGCTTAGCTCGCCGACTCGAATTGGGTAGACCGATGCAACACGGCTGCTAGACAAATGTCCAGCTGGAACACTTGGCGTCTCTTTCGCGCCTTGATTGATCCGACCCAAACCACAGCCGAGACACAAAAACATCTCCAACGGGCCATCCATGCCTTCGACAAGACACCTCAAAATTAGCATGCCAACTACGCGATCCATACCTTTCTGTCCGACATGACATCCAAGCGCCAGCGTACTCGTATGCAGGTTTCGAGAACGCGGAGCTGGATGAACCGTTCCAGCTCCATGACCTGAAGGCGGCCCTGACTAATATCAAGCGAGGAACGGTGCCGGGGAGAGACAAAGTAACAGTAAAATTACTTGCCAACCTTCCCGACCCGGCCTACGACACACTCCTCGGGTACATAAACTCAATTTGGCTTGGTGGGACACCCCTTCCTATCGAATGGAAGACCGCCCTGGTCACTTTAATTCCGAAAGCCGGCAAAGCCATAAACGCGGACAACCTTCGCCCCATCTCTGACTCGCTCGCTGGATTTAGTGCCGACCGGTTGTGGCCCCGCGATCCCTGACGACAGCGCAGCTCTGGCCGACTGGGATTGCCCTACACCATCTCCCGATGCCGACAAGAGCTCTCGCCGAGTGGTGAGCCGTCCTCAGACTCCTGCGACCGTGTCCATCTTTCCTATCTTCTCCTTACTTCCGTCGTTCGCTATCCTTGCGCCTCACGCTCTCCTTCCTCTCTATCTCTTTACCTTTTAACCCTATTCTTTTAATCCCTCATTTACTCCCCCCCCTCGTGAGCTACTGTTGAGGCGTCCTCTCCTTGAGGGGAAGTTACGGCGCTCACTTTTCTCTTCTCATTTGAAATCACTCCCCCCCCCCCTCCATTCTCTTTCACGTCTTGTGTGGGATAGCCAATGGAGATTATGGTGCGAGATCGCTTGTCCGAGTTTCTGGAAAACCAACACATATTTGCAGAAAAAATGTTCGGTTCCACCCTCACTGGTCCGCACAGGATTTCCTGTTTCAGTTAGACCCAGAAATTCTACATCTTGTCGAATAGCATCCTAATGACAAGGCAGTACTCGCCCTTGATTTGAAGGGGGCTTTTGACAACGTGACACAAGACATAATACTGAAGCGCCCTTCCAAAACCAACTGTGGACACAACATGTTTCAATACATTCAACAATTCCTATCTGGCCGACAGTCATACATTCGAATACAAGATGACGAACACGGCTCCTACAAATCAGGTACGAGAGGCACCCCACAGAGTGCAGTAATCTCACCCCTATTGTTTAATCTGGCTATGATGAAACTCCAGGCTCAGCTGGATAATGTTGAAGGCATACGGCACCCGCTGTATGCCGACGATATTACCATATGGGCTAAACACGGATCGGTAGGAGACATAGAAGCCAACCTGCTGCAAGCGGCGGAGATCCTGGATGCCAACGCCGGCCGCTGCGGCCTCCAATGCTCCCCGACCAAATCGGAATTCGTACACATATGCCCCTCGGCAAAGTGCACTGCCAAAATTGGACTGTGCTTACGAAGCGGACCCATCCCAGAAAACGATGAGATCAGAGTACTGGGTCTGTTTATTCATAAACATCGCCGAGTCTAAACAACATTCACAAAATTTCGTAAGGTGGGGGACCAGGTTGGCCGTATGGTCAGCCGGGGTTCGAACAAGTGCGGGAGGTTACGTTGCAAAGATTCCTTGCGGCTGGCGCATGCATTCGTAACCAGTCGATTCTTCTACTCGGCTTCTTGCCTCCACCTTTGCAAGTTTCACGAGAACGCCCTTGAAGCGATTCTTCGGAAGATGTACAAGCGTGCCTTCGATCTCCCAATAGCCACGTCTAACCAGCGCCTTGTGGGCCTGGGGATGGTAAACGCTTTTGCAGAGCTCCGGGAGGCACACTTTAGTAACCAACTCAAGACTTTCGAACACTTCGTCGGGTCGCTGCCTATTAGCCCGACTACACTTCCACCCCCAACACAGACGGAAGAGCGCGTACGCATCCCAGAAGTATGTAGATACTCCCTGCACGTGCGCCCTCTTCCGGCCAACATGACACGTGACGACCACAATGACAGGCGCCTTGCGTGGGTGGAGGCACTAGCTCGCCACTATTGGAACAAACACGGCATAAATCACGTGGATGCCTCCAGCCCTCACCATGGGAGGTCGTACACGGCTGCAGTCGTCCACCAAAACATCGCGGTGAATGGGCTCATATTCAGAGCACAGAACAAATGTGGAGGTAGTCGCCATCGTGCTAGGTGCCGCAGACCAGGACTCGCGCGTCATCATTACGGGCTCGAGAGGGGCCTGCAGAAATATTCATCGCGGGTACGTCCCATACCTGGCGTACCGCATCTCACAAAATAGTAATTACGTCGGGGCCCCCGCGTCCTGTACCATCATATGGGCTCCAGGTCGCGCGGGCCTCGAAGGCAATGAAACGGCAGATGCCACTGCCCGTGTGCTCACTCTCCGGATAACGCCTTCAGACCTTTCCGGAATGAATCCCGAGCCTAATACGGCCTTAACATTTCTAGAAATTACTGAACTCTATCAATTCGGCCACGTGATTTATCATAAACCCTGTAATGGTCTTACAGAGGCAGAGGAATGCTTACTCCTCCACTTTGCACCAAACACTGCAGTGCCCGGCATTTTTCAAATATCTTGACCCTGCGTGTGCAGGAAAATGCCCGCACTGTGCGGAGAAGTCCTCTGACATCTTCCACATGTCGTGGGCATGCCAGTCAACTTTACACTTCAAGCAAAACCAAACCCCACCTGGGAGGACTTGGAGGCAGCCCTGCTCAGCTGTTCCGACCTGGCAAGCCAGAAGGCTCTGGTCAACCGAGTTCGGGTCATGTTTGCTGCCCATGAACTTCAGTATTGAGCAGCCTACCTAGTGTGTGTGAGGGGTGGCCCGCACAGGGCCATCTCCCTCCTACTCTCTGTATATATATATTTAGTGTGGGCATTCATTATGCGCTTCTCATATATGCATTATCATATTCATCATCATCCGTCTGGATCCCTGTCCTCATCTTCACTGGGGGTCACCTCAATCATCATCGGGTGTGTGCACGCTCAGTCTCAGACTGCCCGTTCGTTGCCGAGCCCTTGGGCTGAATAAACGCTGTCTCAACCCAGACGTCATGCGTGGTGGAGGTGCTGGGTATTTCGTAGCGGGCAGCGCGAAAGGGCGTCGGCGTCTTGGTGTTTTCTACCTGACTTGTAAATGATATCGAAGTCATACTCTGGTAAACGTAGAATTCACCAACCCAAGCGTCAAGACAAGTTCTTCAACGTGGAAAGCCAGCATAGGGCGTGGTGGTCCGTAACAATCGTGAAATGACGAACGTGGAGATAGGGACGGAACTTTTGCACTGCCCAGACTACAGCCAAGCACTCTTGCTCAGTTATGGTATAGTTCTTCTCGGTGGCGGTAAGTACTCTACTGGCATATGCGACTACTCTCTCTTGTGAAGAGGTGTCGCGTTGGAGCAGAACCGCACCAATCCCACGGCCGCTAGCGTCCGTATGTAGGATGGTCAGTGCTGCCTCATCAAAGTGGCGGAGTACAGGTTCGGATGTGAGGGCAGATTTTAACAGGTCGAATGCCGTTACATTCTTCCGACTACAGAAAGGCCACGTCGGAAGCTAGAAGCTGGTGCAGTGGAGCTGCTAATGATGCGAAGTTTCGTATGAAACGGCAAAAATAGGAGGCGAGACCAAGAAAACTTCGCAACTCCTTCGACCTTTCGGGGCAAGAAAAGTGAAGCACTGCAGCAATTTTGTCCGGATCCGGCTGAATTCCGTCTTTGGTCACGACGTGGCCCAAAACTTTGATAGCTTTTCTGGCAAAACGGCATATTTTGTGTTGAGTTGGAGACCAGCGGCAGCAAGGCACGTCAAAACGTCATTCAAACGTTGCAGGTGCTGAGCAAACGTTGAAGAAAAAATGATGATGTCGTCCAAGTAGCAGAGACAGGTGTTCTATTTGAGACCGCGTAGCACGGTATCGATCATGCACTCAAATATAGCGGGCACGTTGCACAGCCAGAAAGGCATAACGTTGAATTGGAACCCAGACGTTGAACCCAGACGTCATAATATGAATAATAAAGTTTTTTTCTCTCTCTGTAAAGAAAAATATCTTCTTGGGACAGGTAGTGTCATGATTAGGTGCGCGTTCGTGAACCTGGGAGGGTCGAGGTACCCTCCAGCAGAGTGACGACCTGCTACGACTGGTGGCCGGTGACTGAATGCCGAGCGGCTGTGCTCGGCGGTGTTCATTGAGTCCGCTGTGCCCAATGTTGACCATCGAGCCTGGTGGGGCCACTTAACCTAGCGGCCAACAAATATCAGGAAAGGGGGCGCCACACGATTGTCACAGCCCTCACCCTCTAGTTTGTCCACACAAACACAAACACCTGTCAATCCGGCGAGTAGCGGTCTGGCGGTCTCCGGTACCTCCCGCTCCGCCTCAGCGCGGGTGTCGCAGGTGTGGTTGCATCAGGCGCTGACTGCGTCGCTATCGCACTGTCTGCCCGCATTGCTGGTGTCTCCGGACTTGCAGGCGGCGTCACAGTGGTGCGAGTAGCACCAGCCCCAGGTGCTGTGCTGGCATCGGTCACTGCACTTGGCTCCCCTGCCTGCTGGCTTCCAGAAGGGGCGGCGGCTGAGGTCGCCAGGCGAGGCCTCACATGGTCAGCATGCCGGTGCCACGTGGTCCCGTCCGACATGCGAACGAGAAGTGTCGATGCACTGGCTGGAGAGACCACGTGCCCGGCAGACCAGGGTGGACCAGGCCGGAGGTTCCTGGCAAAGAACGGAGCCCCGGACACCGGCAACGGCCCAGGACGGCAAGCTCTGTCAGCCGCCAGCTTCTTCTTGAGCTGCTTCAGGAGCGCTGTTGACCGGAGGTCGGGGTGCAAGATGTCCAACGGCGTCTTCACCATCCGGCCCAGCAGGAGCTCGCAGGGGGCACGGCCCGTGACGTCGTGGGGTGTGGTCCGGTACTGAAACAGGAATCGGGCAACCTGCGTCCGGAAATCCACACCCTTGCTCTTCTTGGGCTTGTCTTTGACTGTTTGTGCCACCCGCTCGGCAGCACCTTTCGACGCGGGGTGGTACGGCGGAACCATCATCCGGCGGATGCCGTTCTTCGTCAGCCAGGCCAGATACTCCTCGCTGGCGAAAGCAGGATCATTGTCGGACACGATGACGTCCGGCAACCCCTGGGCTGCGAAGATTGCCGTAACGCGCAATGGTGCCCCTGCCGAGGGAGTGGTGACTGGCAGTACCTCCACCCACTTGGAGAAGGCGTCCACCACCACCAGGAAGTAGTGGCCCTTGAAGAGGCCCCCGAAATCCACGTGCAGGCGGGACCACGGCTTCTCCGGGAACGGCCAGGCGGTGATATCCACATGGCGCGGGGCTCGCTGGTTCTCCGGGCAGACCTGGCAGCTCTTCACCATGCGAGCATTGTCTTGGTTCAGGCCAGGCCACCAAACGTGGGACCGGGCCACTATCTTGGTCTTCTCCACGCCTAGATGGCCCACGTGCAGCAACTGCAGGAACCTGGACCGCAGGCTCTGTGGAATCACCACCCTGGAGCCCCACAGCAGGCAGCCCAGCTACAGGCTCAGCTCGGCGGACTTATGGCTGTACGTCCACTCAGCCAACTCATCCCCCCTGGACACTGCCTTGACCACCTGTGACAGGACTGGGTCCCGGCTGGTTGCCTGCGACACTGCCGATCTGGACAGCACCTCCGGGTAAGTGTGCTCCAGCATGAACACTTCAGCAGGTTCTGGAACTGCAGCAGGCACCTCCGGCAGGGCCAGTCGGCTCAGAGCACCAGCAGGTGCCAGGTCCTTTCCCGGGTGGTAGACCAACCGGTAACTGGAGGCCGCGAGCTTCAAAGCCCAGCGCACCACTTGAGGCGACGCCTGCACTGCAACCGCCTTGTCGGGCCCCAGCAGTCCCAGCAGCGGCTTGTGGTCCGTGACCGCCTCGCACCTCCGGCCCCACAGGTACTGGTGGAAGCGCTCGACCCCAAACATGAGGGCCTGGCCTTCCTTGTCCAGCTGGCTGTATTATTGTTCTGCAGCATGGAGCCGACGGGACGCGAACGATATGGGGCATTCCTGGCCATTCTTCTGCCGGTGGGTCAGGACGGCTCCCACACCATACGGTGACGCATCCACCATCAGGACGGCAGGCTTGGCCGGATCAAAGTGCACCAGCACTGGAGCTTTGGTGATAAGCTCCTTGCTGCACTGAAATGCCAAGTTCTGTTCCTCCCTCCAGGCCCACTGCTGTCCATCTCGAAGCAGAAGGTGGAGTGGCTGCAGATGCGATGACAGGTTCGGCAGGAAGGTCCTGTAGAAGTTGATGAGGCCGAGGTAGCTCTGCAGCTCTTTCTTGTTCTGGGGCTTGGGCGCCTTGAGCACCGCTTCAACCTTGCGAGGTGCCAGGGCCAGGCCTGCCTTAGAAATGACATCGCCTAGGTACTCAGCGCTGGGGGCCAGGAAGATGCACTTCTCCAGCTTGAGCTTCAGCCCGGCACATTGCAATTATGTCAGGACACTGTGTAGGTTCTGCAGGTGGTCCTCGTCGTCTCTACCGGTCACAACGATGTCGTTCAAGTACACCGCCACGTGACTCATGCCCCTGAACAGGTTGTCTATCTCCATCTGGAAAATGGCAGGAGCTGAGGCCACGCCGAACGGTAGGCGCGTGTACTAGAAGAGTCCCAGCGTGGACGATATGGTGACATACTTCTGGGACGACTCCTGAAGCACCAGCTGCTTGTACGCATCTCTGAGGTCGAGCTTGATGAACTTCTGTCCCCCGGACAGCGCCCACCAGAGATCTTCAATGCGTGGCAGTGGGTACTTCTCCACAGTAGCGACGGGGTCGATGGTGACCTTGAAGTCCCCGCAGATCCTTACACTGCCGTCTTGCTTGAGGACGGGCACGATGGGAGCGGCCCACTCTGAAGACTAGACGGGCACCAAGACATCGTCTCGCTGCAACCGTTGCAACTCCTGCGTGACCCCGTCCTTCAAAGCGAATGGCAGCGGGCGCGGCTCGAAAAACCGGGGCTTGGCTCCGTCTGGCAAATGAATGCTCGCCACCGTGCCGGTGAATGTGCCCACCCCGGGCTGGAACAGGGCCTTGAACTTGGTCAGGAGGCTCGGGACGTCTTCCACCGCACGTACAACTTCCTGGTACTCCGGCAGCCACACACCCAATGCCTGGATCCAGTTCTGGCCCAGCAGCGTCGGTGACGGCCCCTTGGTCAGGTACAGGGACAGGGTGGCCTTCCTATCGCCAAGGCGGACGCTTACATGGGCTTGACCCTCGACCTGGGCGAGCTGTCCAGAGTAGCTGCGCAGCATGACGCCCGACGCCTCGGCTGGCACACCTGGGAAGGTGCGCTTGAAGGCCTTCCCGGCCGTCACTGACACACTGACCCCTGTGTCCAGCTCCATGGAGATGGGACACCCGCAGACTTCGACGGTCAGCCTATACGGTGGCACAGACGACTGACGCATGTCCGTGTGCCACACGTCGAAAATCTGCGGGTCTTCGGCCACGACGTGAAGCCTAGCCGTGGCACCTGAAGCTGCTACCGCACGTCCCCGCCACCTCCCCTTGCGTCGACTCACTTGGCCGTGGGCTGGCGCGGGACACTTGCTCGACGACGGCTGCTTTCGTCCGTCCGTCGTTTCCCCTCGGCACGCCCAAGCAATGTGCCCAGTCCTTCCACACGCCAAGCAGTCCGCTTCCGCAAACTGTCACTTTGAGGGGGGGGGGGTCACCACCGCAGCGACTGAACTTGCCACACCAAGTCGCCATCTTGTTCACCGCCACTTCCGTCGAAGGTGAGCCGGCTGCACGTGCTAGCTCGCTCGCGTCCTTGGCCGCAGCTTCCATCGCCAGCGCTGCCTTTACCGCGTCGTCCAGCGAGGGGTCGGGAAGCTCCAGGAATCACGTCTCCATGGCGGGGTCATTGATGCCGCAGACAAAACGGTCCCGGAGCAGCGAGTGGAGCTGCTCCCCGAAGGTGCAGCTGCTCGCTAACCCTCGCAGCGCTGCGACAAACGTCCCGAGCGTCTCTCCATCTCGGCGGCTCTGGTTGTTGAAGCGAAAGCGCTCCATTAACGTCTACGGGGCCGGGCTGAAGTGCAAGCGTAGCGTCGCGAGGAGCTCACCTAGCGACTTGTCATGCGGCGTGGCCGGCTTGAGCAGGTCGAGCAGGAGCCCAAAGACGTGGGTCCCGCAGCTGGCAAGGAAGATGTCGCGCTGTTTTTCCACGGTGGTGTCGTTCGCCCGAAAAAACACGCCGACCTGTTCCTCGTAAACTGCCCAGGCGGACCCATCACCCTGGAACGGCTCGAGCCTCCCGTAGAGCGGCTTGGCGTAATGGCGGCCGACGTGGGGGGGTGGTGTGAGCATTCTCAGTGGCTTCGGTAGCTCCGCGGGCTTCTTCCTTCGTCTCCAGTGTCACGATTTGGTGCGCGTTCGTGAACCTGGGAGGGCCGGGGTACCCTCCAGCAGAGTCACGACCTGCTACGCCTGGTGGCCGGTGACTGACTGCCGATAGGCCCTGCTCGGCAGTGTTTATTGAGTCCGCCGTGCCCAATGTTGCCCACCGAGCCTGGTGGGGCCACTTAACCTAGCGGCCAACAAATATCAGGAAAGGGGGGCGCCACACGATTGTCACAGGTAGTAACTGCAGAGCCAAACCATGATAGTGAAATAACAAGAAAAATAAGGAAGGCGTGGATCGCATTCAGCAAGCATTCTTAAATCATAAAGGGTAATCGGCCACTAAACCTCATTATGAAAGTATATAACAGCTGGATCTTGCTGCTACTTACCTACCAAGCAGAAACTTGAAGGCTTAAAAGAGGGCTTAGCCTAAATTGGGGATGAAGAAGTGACAAATGGAAAGGAGAATGATAGGTGAAACCTTAAGGGACAAGATGAGATAAGAGTGGATCAAAGAACAAATCGGGGTTAAGGATATCATAGCTGAATTCAAGAAGTAGACATTGGCCGAGCATGCAGTGCGTAGGCAGAATAACCGCTGGTAATAAGGGATAATTAACTCGATTCCCCGAGAAGGCAAGTGGGTTAGGGGGAGACAGAAAGTTATGTGGGCAGCAAGCACAGTACCGAGTTGACTGGAGAATTATGGGAGAGGAATTCGTCTTGCATGGACATAGGCTAATGGTGATGATGATGATTATGATTATCAACTTCTGTTCTGATGCATTAGGTAGCCATATTACTTTTTGCACACAACACACCCTACTTCCAAGCTTTTCTCTCATTGCGTGCCCACGTGGGCGTGGGCCCTCCCCCCCTCTACGAGCCAGCTGGTTCCCATCGATAATGATGGTGATGGTGATTATGATGGCACTATCTGGGTGGCTCTACATCCCAAAACCAAGATATGATTTTTAAGGAAACCGTAGGAGAGGGCTGTGGAAATTCGGACCTCCTGGTGTTCTTTCACGTACGCTGACCTCACACAGTATGCTTTAACGTTTCGCCTCCATCGGAAAGCGACCATTTCGACCAGGGTTAAACCCACCACCTTGGGGTCACCAGTCGAGCCCTGTGACCACTACGCCACTGTCGCGGACATCGTGCACATCGAGCCGCCCAGACGCATTTCGCCCCTGCGAAGGTGGTGTGGCGAAGTCACGTGTGGCAAACACGTGACCAATAGGCCACTCACTGCTGCCCGCAATCTGTGCCTTAGCCATGCGCAACTTAATTTCGATCTTCAGCGCGTGTCCGCGTCTGAACTTGGCAAAAAGTGATTGCGCAACAAAAATGAAGCTAGACTATTCTTAGACTTCATGGCTAAAATGTTACAAAATCCCTCTGTATTCGGTAAAAAAAGCATTTCGCATCACCCAAATGACAGTGCACTAAGTTTAATATAACTTATGTATTATTTGCTGCAGGTGGACTGTCTACGTTATAAGCTTTAATCGTACCGCTTTTGGTCTCTTACTGCGAAATCGATATTATGGGCAGTCTTGACGAGTTTCTGCAATCTTTTAAGACGTTACACTCCAGATATTATTGAGTTTTCGCCATCACAATAATCATCACGCCTCGTATAAAGTCAACATTTATAAGAACCTCCAACGCATTGTACGTTCAACCAGTGGAAAATAGCGGGTGAGTGGGGGCGACAAACACTGCTGAAACAGAGCAACGTTGCTTGTTGGGCGAATTGCGATGAGTCAGTCATGATATAGTGAAAAAAGGCTGCACCACAGAACATAAGCGAAAGTTCATACTATGCATTCAAGACGTTGTGTACGTCATCCCTCTGACGTGTTGTAGGAAGTACGTGGGTCATACGGGACGCTGTCTGAATGACAGACTCCGTGAGCCCTATTACAGCGTTTACACTACAGTATCAGGACACCTCGGCATCAATGTGCGGGACTGCAAGTGTAGCCCTATATTTGAAAACACCGTAGTCCTCGTACGCAATCGGGACCAAAGGGTGAGGAAAACCAAACAGTCTGCGTACGCATCCGTAAGCATGCCTTACTTGCACCTTTAGGCACTGCGCCGTGCTCGCGACCGGGCTCCAGAAATAAGGTGCTTTTTCTCATCTTCTAACCACTACCACCACTTGCACCTTTAGGAGCGAAGCTCCTTATGTCATGGCTTGTGCGCCCCTCGTTGTAGTGCGTAATCACTGGTGGCACATACCCAAAAGAGTAGTCCTTATATTATTCGCAGGATGGCGGCACTTGTACTTGATGAACACATGATGGAAAGATGTGAGATGACTGTACTTGAATGTTCACTAGACAGACGGACAGACAGGCAGAGGGACCACCGCACGAACGGACGCACAGACAGAGGGACTACCGCACGGACGGACGGAATGACAAACAGACCGCGACACGGATGGACGGACAGACAGACAGACGAACGAACGGGCAAACGGAAGAATGAATGTATGGACGGACGCATGGATGGACGCATGAACTGATGGATGCACCGAGAATCACACGAATCGACAGACACGCGGACGGACGAATGGACGAACTGAAGCAAGAACGAATGGATGGATAAAAGCATGGAGGACTGACGAACACTTCGCCCCACCATTCAATATTCACACCGTGGATATGCTGTGATTTTAAATGTGACGCATTTCTTGGCGATCTTCGGCGACTTCTAGCGTATCTATCTATCTATCTATCTATCTATCTATCTATCTATCTATCTATCTATCTATCTATCTATCTATCTATCTATCTATCTATCTATCTAGCCGCCTACGACGTTTAGCTCTCTTGGCCGTTTCGATAACGGTATTGATACAAAACCTCGTATAGCATAACATGACTGTATGAAGAACATATTTGACATGGAACATATTTGACATGGAACATCATAACATGGAAATCTTGACATGTTTGTCATGATTTACATTGCAAGGTCCTACCGCTCTTGCGGTGCTTTCGTTCACATGGCATGTTGCAAAACTGCTATGACATAACAATATGGCATGGCGAACATGAGCGACCGACCCTAATGTTAAAATCATGATATGCGTGTGATGTAGCAACATCACTATATGCCATGCTCATGATGCACTAGCTGCGGTTTCGCTAGCGTCACACATACCAAATATGGTATTACGGTACGTGAATGGATGACGAAACTATGATACTGGTGCAAATGAGATAAACATGGAATGCGTGTCATGTAACAACATAACTAAATGCTGCGCTCAAGAAGCGCTCGCAGTCATTTCGCTTGCTTCACATCTACGAAACTTGGCATTATGTGACGCGAACAGACCACGTATATAAATGACCAATCCAAACATAATAATCCCGACATGCGTGTCATGTAACAACAAGACTACATGCCACGCTCATGATGCGCTGGCATCTTTTTCACTAGCTTCACCTATACCAAATTTGGTACTACGGGACGTCAATGGATGACGAAGGTATGTGACTAGTGCAAACATGATAATGATGAGATGCGTGTCATGTGAGAACATGACTACATGCCGCAGTCAAGGTGCCAATACTGTTCGACATGACGCGGTGCACGTGCTCACCGGCGTTCATTTGGTCGCGTCACGGCGACGTTGCCATACCAGGCGGTGGTCCTGCCAAATACTCGCAGGCACGTGCCGAGCTGCATTGCTTTGACACATGCGCGTTTCAGCGCGTCCGGCGTCCCTCCGTCATGAAAAGAGGGAGACGCAGTGTTGTCTGGGTAACGCATTGGCATAGAGTAATGTTACTCTATGGCATCAGCGCGAAATGCAGCATGTCGCATTTCACGTCGGTTTCCGTCGGACCGCGCCGATGGACGCTGGTCGCGCCTGGAGTCAGACAATAGAGTGCTCGCGTTTTGCAAACGGAGCGTTGCTGTGCCCAGTGTTCGCGCGTGTCAACGCTGCATTGAAGTATATTGGGCCATTCATGGTGTGCTCACGGCCGTTTTGCTAGCTCCACATCTACCAAATTTGGCGTTACGTGGCGTCAAT